GGGCAATTCGAGAGCCCTGGGTAGTGGATGGATGGTGGTAAGCGGGTGATGCTGTTGTTTGTTGTTTCTGTGCTGCGTGCGTATCGGACGGAACTGGGCAGAGGTTCAGGGGTCTTGGAAGCTTGTGACGACGTGGATGTCGTGTCGTACTAGGTATCTATGTATACGTGCGTGGTGGCGGCTGGGCGACGGAAGTGAAGTGTCTGCTGAGGTTGCAGGAAGAGGAAGTATAGCTTCCAGGAGTGTTTTGATGAGAAGGAAAGGGCAGGACCGGCACGGCGGATAAGAAAGAGAGGGGGCCAAGATGGCGAGGCCGCGACCGATCGGGGATAGCGACGAGAGGGACGAGCAACAGATGCTTGTTAGAGTCGTCGGGCCGGGGGGGGGGGGGGGGGGGGATTGGTTAAGGTAGAGGACTGGGGGGATGGGGGTGGTTATCCGTATTTGGTATCCGTACTGTGTCTCGCTCGCAGGTCCGTGACGCACGCGGTGGGAAGTGTACGTACAGTAGGTATGGTAGGTAGGTAGATGGGTAGCAGTTGAGGCAGACAGCGGTCAGTGACAGGACAGGGTGAGTCTGCGAGTCTAGTGTAAGTCGCCAGTGGAAGTCAATGGTGTCAAGGTAGGTAGCTAGTGTCCTAAGTGAGTGGCAGGTAGCCCGCCCAAGTTGTCAATGACGGCGTCGCCAAGTCAATGTGACGTCTGACGTGGGTTTGCTGGAGACCGAGAGGGGAGGAAGAGAGGGAGGAACCATGAGAAGGGAATAATCAAGATAGGAAGGGTCCAAGAAAGTATCGTGTGCACTTTCCTACAGCAGTACACTACACTAACTACCTACACTACCTACACTGTAGGTCGATACCTAGAGTAAGATGAGGCCCCGCAGGGCCCCAGGTACGGAGTACATTGGATGAATTCCAAGACGGCGGGAGGTGACATGTACCTGCGCAAAGCACCTCCATCATACACTAAAGGACCGTGGGCCCGAGCGGGCTTCTGGGTCGCTATATGTATACTCCTATTACCTACCTACCTAAGTTAAGTACCTAGGTAAGCCAACTCTGGCGTCTTTGCCGCTACCTAGGTAGGTGTACCTACCTAGGTAAGGTAGGAGGTACGGACGCATTACAGGATTTGACTCACTGAATGTTGGGCACTTGGGCGGGTTGTGGAGGAGCGAGCAAGGCACGAGGCGTGTGGAGGAACTTCGATTCCGTCACAGGTGGGATTTTGGTGGAGGCGGAAAGAGTTGGGAGTTGGGCCGCCCGGTGGTGATAGCTGGAAAAGAGAAAAGAGTCGAACGCGACCGACCGACCGTATGGCAGGGACCAGGAAACAAGGTTAAACGGTAAACAACACCTTCTGCTCGTTGCGGCCATTGAGAGGAATGTGCGATAGAAGAGAGAGGCGAGGCTGACGCGGAGGGTGGAGCCAGCGCCCCGACATCCAAATGCGCCCAAAATGCACTTTGCCTCTCACTGTACCGCAGAGGTATCGTTGCCTGCATTTCCCCCGCCTAAGGGTACACCCATATATGCATACCGTCCCTCGTTCCATCCAACAGTGCTGCACTGTGAACACCCACCTGTTCGTACAAGCAGGTACATGCGCGTGCTGATGCTTGCTCCATGAAAAGCACAGTCAAGTCTGCCTGAACAGCAGCTTGTATCCGTACTTGGGTACAAATACGGATACACATGGCTCGAATCAGAGCCCCCCCTTTTGCTGCTTGCTTGGTCGGCGTGCCCAAGACCCCCCCACCATACCTAACAAACAAACCCTGCTTCTGGTCTTTCCCGCAACCACAACCTTACTACGTACATAGTCTTACTCTGCCTGACTCTCGGCATGAACCGCTAAGAATTATCACCATCGTCTCTCCATTGCCCCCCTTTGGCCCCTATTTCCTACGGCATTTGCACAGCTCATTGTCTCCTTTCCCCCCTCTTCGCAATGCTCGATATAGTGTACCACGGCACACCTGACGACGCTCTCCTGTGTCATCTATCCCATCATAACCCCGCCCGTGGGTCACCCTCCCCTGCCATTCAATGCTCTCAACGCCGCAAAGCTCATGTACTTCACTGCCCTCCGACAGCTTCATGTACATATCCGCCTCTCAAAAGGTTGCACATCTCGGTCCTACAAGAGAGCTAATATGTCGTCTCCCATATTTGAGCCCGTGTTGCGCCCAAGGTCCTAGATTCTAGCCTGCCTCTTCTCGCTTCATCTAAACTACCCTCACGCGCCTGTCCCGGTTCTGTCATGATGCTAGTGAGTCTACTTGTTCGGCCGATGCTTTGCATTCGCTAAGCCGAAGCAATACTATCCTTTCGAAGCTCGCCTACATTCGCAGATGCACGTTTGGCACGTGAAACCTTCGAGCAAAAGTCGGTAACAAGGGCCTCACCGGTCTAGATTATCCAATGCTCAAAGACTTTGCAAGTGCATCACGCCCCGCTGATAGACATAGACATGGTTTCCCCGCGGTGTGCCTCATGTGCTCCTGCCGTAGGCCTCAATTTGCCTGCCGCCTTATCTCCCTGGCCAATGCCATGGCATTGCCGCTTGACGCTCCAAGACATTCGTCTGTCACGCCTGAACGGCGGCGGTGAACACCCAACAGCAATTTTCACCGTATCATGGCAATACACTATCAATCGCATGTGCTTGCTGGCTTTGGGATTACAACATACGTGAGGTGGGTTTGCAACCTAAATTACTCATGTGCAAGATCCGAGTCAGTATGAAGTCCCGACGATCGCTGCAATACTACACTTTTGCCGATGGTCCTGGCCACAACGATCGTGTCGCAGCTTCCATGTTGCTCGCTCCAATACTAACACGGAGGGTTTTAATAATATTGAAATACTATTAAATGCAGAATAATCATCCACCTGCTATGCTACGTAATAAAACAATCGTTGCTGAATGGTACAGGCTCGACAAGAGCCTTATTCCCTTACAGCTTCCTTGCGCTGTACCTCCAAATTGTGTATATGTTATTCACTCATCAACTCAAACAACCTATATCAGCAACTTTCAGAACTACCTTTGGGAAACCCGCTATAGCGCTATAGAGCAAACGATTTCCGCATCAGGGCTTTCATGAAATCCCAGCGAATATACTAATTTTTACAGACAGACAGAGTATAGAGTTGAATAAAAGGAAACGGTTCGCTCCGTCACCATTTGGGCATTAAAGAGTTGTTGCATTATGTCAGCAGCGCGGTGACGCTTTCCCCGACCGCCGACCAGGTCAGCCCCCACTACCGTGATTCAACCAATACGAGTCGTTGTTCAACCTGGGAGCTTGCCAAAGCCTCTCTGACAGGAAAGTTCAGAAAGTCGCGACCGATCGCACACCACTTTGTGCAAGCTTGCACCAGCGCATTTTCTTCCGATGGCTGGCGGTCGCAAGAACAAATCCGCGGACCCTGCGCCTCCTTCAAAAACCCTTGTGCTCGACAATGGTGCGTACACTATCAAGGCTGGCTTCGTCTCCGAAGAGCTCACCGAAGAGCCCCGAGTGATCCCCAACTGCATTGCTAGAGACCGAGCAAGGAAGGTCTACGTCGCATCTGATCTGGACAAGTGCCGCGACTTCGGTGAGATTCAGTTTCGGCGACCGGTAGAGAAGGGATACATCGTCAACTGGGAGGCTCAGAAGGAGATTTGGGACCACGAGTTCTTCAATGACAATGCACCTCAGAGATGCGACCCCTCGGAAACCAGGCTTCTCCTTACAGAGCAGCCCAACTCGTTGCCCATACTCCAATCCAACTGCGACCAGATCGTTTTCGAGGAATATCAATTCGAAAGCTACTATCGCGGCATCGGTATGTCACCCCACCCTAGTACAACCCTGGGCTTTAACTGACCTGGTCTCATTTCCTCCGTCAGGCGTCTCCTTCAACGCGTACCACGACGTCCAAGGCATCCTTCAGACACCCCGAGACCCGAACACGATACCCAATCTCCCGGCTGAAGTTGTGCTGTTGATCGACTCTGGCTACTCAAACACGATCGTCATGCCTCTTCTCAAGGGCAGACCGCTGCACTCCGCTGTACGTAGGCTCGACGTTGGTGGGAAGCTCATGACGAACTACCTGACGCGCCTCCTGTCTCTGAGGTACTACGATATGCGCAATGATACCTACATTGTCAACGAGATCAAAGAACAGGCCAGCTACGTTTCAATGGACTTCAACGGAGACCTTGAGAAGACTTGGAAAGGTACTCGGGGCGAGAAGAGGGAACCATATGTCACGGGAGCCGGTATTGCAAAAGACTACGTCTTGCCCGACTTCCACACGCGAACCAAGGGCCTTGTTCGAGACTACGACCCTGCGATGCATACAAAAGCGAAGAAGATGGCGGCACGAACCTCAGACAACAACGAAGACATCCTGACGCTCCGAAACGAACGATTCGCCGTCCCCGAGCTGCTTTTTCAACCTTCTGACATTGGCCTCCGTCAACCTGGTCTTGCCGATGTTATCATGCAGTCTCTGTCCGAACTACCCATCGGGCTCTGGCCTGGCCTGTTGGCCAATATTGTTGTTGTTGGCGGCAACGCCTTGTTTCCCGGTTTTATTCAGCGACTGGAGAAGGAGCTCGTCAAGAGAGTTCCTGATGCCTGCATCGTTCGGGTCGCGCATCCCGTCAACCCCATTACTAGCACTTGGGAAGGAGGCGCCAACCTGGCTAAACACCCAGACATTCACAAGTTCTCTGCTACGAAGCAGGAGTACGAAGAGTACGGTGCTTCATGGGTCGCACGAAAGTTCAGCTCTGGGAACACCGGTGACTGATCATAATTACTATATGGTGGAACGGCAGAAATGTTGGCTAACATCAGCCTTCCCCCACGGTTCGCCCGATCTGGGTATGCTTTCTATACACTTTGGGGATCTAAAATATTCAACCAACATAGCCGCACCGCCCGCCAAACCACGGCTTTTGTGAAGAAGTATATTCTTTGCAAGGCATGAGGCAGACTAACCTCCAAAAACGATACCCCAGAAGTGTTTGTACTGCGAGCTTTCGGAGACTTTGACAGGCCGCCCCTCAAGCTTTTCCAACGACGGATCAATCTTCCTGCCAAATCGTCAGCGCGATGATTTTGTTCGTAGTTACAGAACTGGCATACTGTAGGGTTTACGTACTTGTAACCGCTGACTTCGCAGCGCTGAAGGCATTCCGCATTGCCAAGCGAGGCACCAGTTCCAACTGCGGGGATATCGCGGCGAAGTTCCGCAGACTGGGCAGAAAGGGGGTTATCGCCGAACGCTGCGGCAACAGCACTTGGAAGGAAGTCGAACAGTCCATTGGCAACTTTTTGTGTGCCGGCGTCTTCTGAGCTCAGGGCCGATATCAGAGTGGCGTTCCCACAACCTGGGAGATCTCATTTAGCCTTTTTCGGTGCTTCCGGCCCCAAAGATGTCTTGCCTGTTTTTCGCATCATGTGCAGGCTGCCTTGGGGGAAGACGGTCATATCCCTGGGTCAAACTTCGTCCTGAAGACGCGAGCGCCGTTCTCCAGCGTCATGTATGTCTCGGTGCTTCCCACCACCGACACTACGTAGTTGAAAGCGCGTGCGTGGTGGTGTGGCGGCAGCATGGCGCAGGTGCCGAGAGTGATCCAAGCCATGGTCATGCCATTGCCCACTGTTGCTAGGAACGTGGCAGCACTCGCGTTGACTACTCCACCAGGGGTGTATGTATGATATTGATGGGCGAAATAATTGAATGTCCAGTCTTTATCATTGGGGAGGGTTTTCAACTTATCGAGCTCTGTCGGACTCGTTCTCAATGATCTGACGAGTTCTGTGTGTAGTGTGTTATCTGTGGCATTGTTTCCTACGGCTTGGAGACACAGAAGTAATAAAGAAAGACCTTTCGGCGTCATAGGGAAAACGATCATGTTGGCCGAGGTGATCAAGGTGTCTGGAAGGCGTCCAGCCTGTCTTAGAGGTTCCTGCTTCTACCTAGCCTCCGGCGGACCAGAACAAGGCGACCTTTTATCATTTCATTCCTTGAATCTGTGCACAGCTTGCTCCATCGATTGATGTGGCTACAGTCAGCCTTGTGAGACAGCGTTTGTCAATGGTGAGAGGTGGCCAAGTCCAAACTACTTGAACAACGCCAAGCCAAGAGGACAGAAGCATCCCCTAGCAGAGCCACAAGCAAACCGTTGAGCCTCCAAAACGGCCAGTAAGGGTCCCTTTCTAAATCATTCACGCAATTGGTGTTTAAAAAATGTCAGCTTGGATGTGATGCAAGAGGAGTCGAATTCTCTAGCTATAACCATTTGTGGAATCAGCCCACGGGAGATTGTTAAATTTGAAAGGAGCCCGAGCCCCCTTGCAGTCTCTCACATGACTTCTAGTCCAATAATGTTACTGCGTATTGAGATTGAGATCAGTTGATTGCAGCCAGAGAAGCCCCAGATTTTGCGCATCTTGCCGCTGTATAACAGGGCTCGAAACAGGAATTCAAGTTTAGAAAGACAATTACGCTTGAAATTAAGGAGCTGTAGCAAGGGTCAGTCAGTTCGAACTGTAGTTGGATGGAGAGGGAAGAAGTCCCGGCGTCTCCGGAGACAGAGAGAGATGTCTGCCTTGCTGACGTGATATCCGATTCTTGGTAGGTGACAGCCGCCCTACCAGACTTCCCAGGCAACTTGGAAATGCACCAAAAGAGAGGTCCCACGTTACTCCCAAGAAGGGCGTACCAGTGAGACAACCCTATGCAGGGGCTATAACAGCACCGTCTTTCTACCGATATTGAATAATAAATTGACCGTCTTGTCCTCCGAAACAACTTCTAGGTAAGAGATCAGTGGATCTTGGCCGCGCTAGTATCAAGAATTCATCGAATGCCATGAGCTAGAGAGGATCGAAAGTAAAATCAAGGCATAGATAGTAAGCTTGGGGGTATGAGCCGTGCTCTCGCACTGAAATCGGGAATTACTGGAATTTGACACCTTGGCGTACATTTGGTGTGATGCATATCACAACGGAAATGATAGAACGAGAGAGAATTGAGACTGTCCATTGCCGCTACTTTTGTGCAACTGACGCCTGAAACGCTGTTCTCCAAGGGTATCTCGGAAAAGGGAGAACAGAAAAGAAAAAGGTTGATGATGAGAACCCGTGCGCTTCATACATAGTGATGGTAAAACAAGTGCCAAAAGTAAAGAAAAACCAGGACCGTTGCCCTCCGAAAAGAAGGGACTGGAAGTGCCGAGGCTCGTAAAGTTGATTCGACAAGAGTGGAGAGGTGTCAGGAGAAATGGACCGAATCGCCAGAACAGACATCGCTGTAGGGCCCCCTTCTGGACCGTTGGAGGCTGCCGGCGTCACGGTTACGGCCGTCCGATGGCTAAGACTACGGCCGAGGCTATCGTCGTCGCCGAAAGAAATGCACCTAAAGGTGTCTCAAGAACCGACCGCGGCTTGAGCACCCTATTGAAAGTCAGCGATCCAGACAGACGACATTGGATAAATCGGGGAGAGCGAACAGTCACACTGCGAAAAGAGTTAGCGAGACCACGAGGTACGTTGGTAAGAGGCGGCAGCCTTACAAAAGTTGAGGTCGATCCCTCATTGTGAATCATGCAATATCCGCCGCAGCAGCCTCTGCAGAGCCTCTGGGTGCGTTCGATGCAATCTTGACACTGTTTCCTAGCCGTCAGTTTCGGGGTTTGATGGGCCTGTGGACCTAGGTTTGGGTATGAGACTCACGTTGCTACCGCATTCCCAGCAGCTTTTGGTAATACGAGCCTGTGTTCTCTTCTTAGCAACTTTGGCTCTCCAAAAAATACGCAAAGTTTCGCAGGTGAACAAGATAGGGGGTTCGACGGAGAACGAGAAACATGGACAGCATTGTGGCATACACTTTGAGCAGGCGGCGTGATCAGACGGCGGGGAACGTCCGATGATCAGTCCAGCAACACCCTCTGCGCGTCGATGACCTCGCCCATGGGGCATTTCGGGAAGCAGGCGCCGTTTCGTACCTTGATCTTGGGATGACTCTCATGCTCCTGATGCTGGACCCAGGCACCGCCCTCAGCGTCCACGACGACCACGTCCGTGTCGGCCAGCTCGGTCACGGCGCCGGGCGTCTGGTAGCATTCCTCGCACCACCACTTGTGGCAACCAGCGCAGTATCGCTCTCGGAGGCAGTCGACGCATCGTGCAACGAAGGACGAATTCGATCCCAGGCCGATGAACGGTGTGGTCGCGGCCTTGACCGAAGACGTCGTGAGTGGTGGGGGCGCCAATAGTGGGCGTTGGATGGCAGGCGTGCCGTTGTGGACCGTCATGCCTTCTGGCGCAGCGCCGCATCCGGCGCAACCACCCAATGCGATTGTGGCCACGGCCCAGTGCCGAGCTGCGGGCGGGACCCTCACCTTGGCGTACGCGGGCGAGTTCATGTGGTGGGGACCGGTACAAGCCAGAGCATCGAATGCGATGATGCCATGGCAATCTACCAGGGTATTGGCCCATTCGTCCACCAAGGGACGCGCAATGATGCGGCCCTTTTTCTGATACCAGTCCTCTCCCTCGGTGCGCAGGGAGGAGGTCAACGCCTGCTGCGACTTGGCGTTCCATCCTGCACTGATCGGCGGTGCGTGTGAAGTTGCGCTAGACGCGATGCCCGGCGCCGTTGTTGACAGCAGCGGAGTGTGTTTGGCACCAAAGACGTACAGGCCTTTTAGTCGGGGCGTGCCTTCTGGCCGTGACGGTCTGCAGGCATATTGAAGAGAGCCGCAAAGCTTGCGCTCATTGAGGTTCTTGACGCCGCGGATGGAGAGGAGGCGCACGCTGTAGGCCGGGTCGAGAATGATTTCGTGGCAAAGCTCGGCCGTCACGGACAGGCCATCGAGGATCAGCGTCTGCACGTCCTGGAGGATGTGCTGTGCACGAATGTTGGAAAAGATGCCTCTCAGCGGGCCCGAGTAGAAGCTGGTGAAATCATCACGTCAGCCAACCGTTGTACCACCGCCCGTTGGATCCTCAAAAGGATCCACTGCAACTTGGGTTCACTTCCTGCAACCGAGAACAGGGCGAGCGGAGGGGATAGATGTTGGACGCACTCATCTTCGGCCAAGTTCTCGTCGAGCTGGACGTTGCGCCAGACTTGGCCTCCACGGTCGACGCCATCGATGTCAAATTGCGCACAGCGGACTTGGGTAAGGTCAAGATGCCTGAATACACCGGAGGTGTGCTTGAGGAGTTCTCGGAATCCTCGGCTTGTGGACGCAAGGTTCAGGCGATCATGGGCAGAGAGGTGAGGCGCTGTGTGGGATAGGATGAGATGATTGGAAAGGAGGTAGAGTAAAGTCGTGGCCGGGTTCTCGTAGAGCGTGTAGGCGTCCTCGACGTTCTGGAGCATGTTACGGCGAAGGCGCGCGGTTGAGGGATCCGGAAGAATAGAAAGGTAGGGAGGTATGCGACGGCCGTAAATCACGAAGGTCAGCGGCGATCGAATCAGAAAGTTGGTCGATTACGGCGGTTTTTGGCGGAAGAGAGGAATAAAGTAGGATGGAAACACAGAGAAAGGGAAGCGAGAATTGCGACAGGAAGGTCGACAAGGCAGATCAGGCGGCTTCGCTGGCAGTGGCGTAATAGCTGTCAGCTTCTGGAGCGATGATGATGACGGCGGTCTGCGTAGGGAAAATTAGAACTCTCTAGCTTGTGTGGGCAGGTTCTGAGGCATACTCGAGCCGGAAGACGTGTTGATCTAAATATCTACGCCGTCAAAGCTTGCCAGGTACAAAAAGAGAGTGGACGGCGGGCTAGTGTCCGGGCAAGGCAAGACAAGAAACGTGGGTGTGTCTATCCTTAGCTTTGCGGTGAAGATGCACTCAATCCGTGAAGCAGAGTTGAGACAGGGTAGCATGTGTTGTACATGGGGCAAGGGGACCTTGAGGTTAACCGCCCTCATACATAGTAGTACCGAGAGATGCAGCACGGGCGGGCTAGAGCTCAGTAGGCTAGGTAGATTGGTCCAAGTCCCCAATAAATGCACGTCCAAGTTGGTGGGTTGGTTCACACCCCATCCAAGTCCGTTACCCCCATCTGGGGTTCTTTCGTTATTTTTGAGGATGGGGTAGAAGCAACAGCGTTGCAGCCAAGGCAAGACAGACAGACACAAGCGTGCCCCCCACCCGTTGACTGGCTTGTCGCTTCACCCAGCAGGGTAGGTGTTGCCGGTAAAAGGTGGTAAGCGTGGAACGGAGAGTAGCATCTGGGGGTTGGCCCAGCTGGGTCGGGCCCTGAAAGAAGGATTGGCCGTGCCCAGTCAATGAAGCCATGGTGGCAGAAGGAGGCGGAGAATACCTAGTGCGGTTGAAACGGATGAGCTTCAACCCGCTGTTTGGCACGGTCTTGGCAACCTGCAGAGCAACATCGGAGGCCCACCGCGCTGGCACATCGACACCAATGTTGAGTGCCTTTAAGAGGCTTGCCATGCATCGACTTATTCATGCGTCGCCCGTTTGAGGAGATAGAACAGCTGGGGGAAGACGTGGTGTACGGACCGAATAGTGAAGCAATGGGACGGGGGTGGTGGTGGTGGTGCGTATGGAAGACACTCGCTCCATGGAGTCGAAGGCGGCGGGGGGTTGGAGTCGCAAGGTGAAGTGAGGTGAGCAAGGTGTTGAGGCGATATGAGGCAAGCTGCATCGGCCTTGGCTAGGTGTGGGAGTGCCGAGGCGGTTCTCATCCAAACAGAACAACAGCGCAGGGCACTCACTTATTGGGATTCCTTGTTTCGCTCGCATCGTGCTAGTACCTAGTACAGCTTCACTAGCTCAGCTCCCCTCATTTGTTTGGGTGAGTGCTGTCATATAGATATCAGGGTATACTCATCTCATCCCAACTGGACCGACAAAGCTCCAATGAAGGTGTGCTGATCTGGCTTGAAACTGTTGCATGACCAACTTAGCCGCACCAACCGCTTAGAGTTGCCATGGCTGTTTGTAGCTGGTTACTGTAGTGTATGTAGATCGTGCTGAGCTGTGAGCATTTCTGTGCTCTTAGGATGGGGTAAATGGTCCGAGATACGCGAAGCGGATATGGCGACCTGGAGCAGGTGGAGCTGCACAGAGATCAGCTTCTTCTCCTCTTCCCTCTGTATAGTGTGGTGAACAGTCAAGGGTGGAAAGGTCGCGTGAGACTTACTGCAAAACTGGCTACTTAGCTGGGCCTTCGACTGACCTTGACCCTTGCAGAAAGTAGTAAGTGTGCCATGCCCATCTGCTCAAGCCTCGGGGGCCAAGTCGCCTCCTGCACGAGATGTTGCTCCTGTGCGACACCGCCTGGGATTGCTGGGGAGCTGTTTGGGGGGCATACGGTGTGCTGTACACGTACACTGCGGATACTCTTTCAGGTACCACCTCAGTTCGGGGGGACTGTATGGCTCCTTTGCCTACCTATTTTGGGGGAGTGTTTCGGCGCGCTGATCCGCTAGCCAGCCCTGATCCGGGGCTCGCGGGATTGCAGTCCGGAGTCGCGGAGTCGGGGGTTATGGAGACTTTTATTTCCGCTGTTTTTGGTGCCGGGGGAGTTTTGGAACAATTAAGAGGGGAATGGAGCTTCTTGGCGCGTCTGGCAGTTCCCGAATAGTGTTGATTTGTTCTGTTTTAGTTATTTTGAGTGAGCGAGCTCAGATAAGAGCGTGCGCGGCCAGGCCGCCAAGCCGGCGAGCAGCAGAGATGAGCACTCGTCAATGTGACTGGCTGACTGACTGACTGACTGGCTGCTATTGCTTTTGTACCTACCGGGACCAGTCTCGGCGGCGCCCCGGTTCAATCTATCAACAGTATATGAAGAACGGGGGGGGTGATCCGAGAGCTTGCGCCCGAGTCTACAGAGTACGGATACAGACAAGCTGATATTGTTCCCCCCCTGTCATCCCAAGAGTACTGTGCACAATAACAGCGATAAACCTCATATCCTAAAGGCTGTAGTTATATCCTAAAGGCTGCAGGTTCAATCCAGTTTTCTTAGATTTTTTTTTATTCTAAAACGGCTCCACTAAGGAGGGTTAGAATAGTACTAACCCACCCTGCTTCCTACGCTGCGCTCTAGGTCAAGTTAGGCCAAGACTATCCCTTTTGCCTCTATTGTTTTATTAAGATAGTTGTGTTATTACTAAATCCACTGTCTACTGAGCTTTATTGCTGTTATTGTGCACGGTACTCTTGGGTTGACAGGGGGGGGGACAATATCAGCTTGTCTGATCACCTTGGGCCCCCTCAACTTGTAGGCGGTGAGAGAGATAAGGGAGAGATAAGGCGTAACTGTGGCCTGGACGGGGCTTTCTGGTGTCAGATTACATAATCTACTCTGAAGAGGCACCATAGGTAGTACAGGTAGGCACCAAGTATCCGTACACGCACGTTAGAAGACAGCAGCCATCCGGGCGGCGGTTTCTATGGAATCCAGAAGAAACCCCACCATCCTGCTGATTCATCGCGGCCGTCACCGTGGTGTTTGTTTTCTACACTACCTAAGTAGGTAGGTGATGCAATGCAATCTCTAAGCGGCATGCCTGGTTGATGTTTCTCTATCCAGACTCCGGTTACTCGACGCTTTCTCTTTTCCGATCATGTCAAGTTGCAACACCTCGAGCGCAAACCGTGCCTCCGACGAAAGAGCAGTTCCTTCATTACCCCTCCACCCCACCTAGACTTGTTCGCCTGCCGTTCGTCATTAACGGTCTGCAAAGCAAAAGAGACAACCGCCAATTCGAGAACCGACGCGTCTGAACACGGCTAGGAGAACCAAGATATGGAGGAATCCCAGCCTGAGCTGAAGTGGTCTGCGCCATTTGCAGTACTACCACCCTCAAAATCCTCCCCTCGAGACTTGCGTGGCGACAAGATTCTTCTTCCTCCGTCTGCTCTTGAGCAGCTGCTCGCAGCATCACCCCGACCACCCGCACCCGCAAACTCGACCTTCACCTCATACGATCCACTCAATCCATATGCGCGCCATCACCAAACCCAATACCACCATAGCGACACTTCCCAGCAACTGCCCAACCCCTTGATGTTCCGCTTGGTCAATCAGAACAACGGAAACGTTGTCTACGCCGGCATTCGCGAGTTCTCTGCCGACGAGGGAGAGATTGCCTTGGCTCCGTATCTTATGGAAGCTTTGGGCATACTGCCGACTGATTTTGGCAGCGAGACCTCCAGCAACGAACCCCTTGATCTGACGGACGATTCAACGAAACACACTCAGCCGAGGGTGACAGTGCACGCGAACCAACTGCCCAAGGGGACCTATGTTCGCCTCAGACCGCTCGAGGCAGGTTACGACCCCGACGACTGGAAGTCTCTGCTCGAGCGTCAGCTGCGAGAAAGCTACACCACCCTCACAAAGGACTCCGTTCTCTCCGTTCGCGGCGTCAAAGGCGAAGATTTCAAGTTCTTGGTCGACAAATTCCTGCCCGAGGGGGACGGCATCTGCGTCGTGGATACCGACTTGGAAGTTGACATTGAGGCTCTCAACGAGGAACAAGCCCGGGAGACTATGCGCCAAATCATGGCCAAGGCCCAACCTGGTGCTGCGAATGGAAGTTCGAAAGGAAGCGAGCTTGATGTGTGGAAACCCGTTGAAGGCCAAGTTCTCCCAGGAGAATACGTCGACTACGAGCTGCCCTCCTGGGACCGAACCCGACCCCTGACCATTGAGCTCTCCGAGCTTTCAGTTCCCGATGCAGTAGACTTGTTCATCAGCCCAAAATCTGCTCGGCAACGAGCCCAACCTCGCGACTTTGAACACGTTTTTGGCAACTTCGCTCCCTCTCAAGACGGAAGAAAGGTCATCACCATCCAACCTACTAATATCGAGCTGGAGAACGCAGAGCAGCTTCTCATTTCGGTTCATGGCTATCCCTTGGCGGGAGGTTCTGAAGATTCGGTACCAGTTCACTTTTGTCTCAGGGCGAAAGCCGAAGGAGAGGCAGACTTACATGATGTGACGGTTGACCTGGTGAACGATGAGACGAGGCCAACAGACGAGGAACAGTGCAAAAACTGCCTCCAGTGGGTTCCCAAGCGCACCTTGGTACTGCACCAGAACTTCTGCCTTCGAAACAATATTCTTTGCACAAGGTGCAGACATGTCTTCAAGAAGGCATCCTTGGAGTGGGAAGCACACTGGCATTGTGAACATGACGATGCCCACGGCGACTCATCAGCAAGCAAAGCCAAACACGATTATGTGCGGCATACGGAGCGTCAATGCGCATCTTGTGAATTCACTGCGCCATCTCTGGTGGAGCTGGCACTGCACCGTACAAGCGTGTGCCCAGGGAAATTGATTCTTTGCCAGTTCTGTCACCTTGAAGTACCACAGGAGGGCGACCCCTTGAACCCATCTGCAGAGACAATTCTGTCAGGTCTCACAGCCCATGAACTGGCCGATGGCGCCCGCACGACAGACTGCCACCTGTGTCAGAAGATCGTTCGCATGCGAGACATGACAGCCCACATGAAGCACCACGAGTTGGATAAGGTTTCCCGATCCAAGCCTGCAATCTGCCGCAATGCAAACTGCGGCCGAACTCTTCATGGCGTGGGATCCGCTGGTACCGTTGGTGCCGGAACGGCGATGGGACAGGGGCCTGGAAATGAACTGGGTCTTTGCTCGTTATGCTTTGGACCTCTTTACGTTAGCATGCATGACCCAGAGGGCAAGGCTCTCCGACGTCGTATTGAGAGAAGATATCTCGGCCAGTTGATGACAGGCTGCGGAAAGAAATGGTGTGGAAATGAGTGGTGTCGTTCTGGCAGAGCCAATCTTGGGCTCGAGTCCAAAGGAACGAGTGCGCAAGCCGCCTTGCCACTCGTCAAGCCGTTGGTGCAAAGCATCCCTCGAGTCCAGGAACCCATATACTTTTGTGTTGATGAAGCTTCACAGCGGCGGCGGAAGCTAGCAGAGATGCTGGCAGGAGAAGGAGTGTGGGACTTTGAGTGGTGCATCGCTGCGTGTGAAGCAGCCACGGGAGATTTGGACAAAGCACGAGAATGGTTGGTCAATTGGGCGCCAACTAGATAGAGCACGTTAGACTAGACACCCAGGCGGCATAGCGTGTGCCCGGCTTATCATGTAGAATATATGGTTTAACCACCTAGGCACACGCTTGAACCATATTCATGACATGTTGAATTTCAGGTGATAAAATCTGATGAAGATATCGATATTCGGTAGGATCAGAATTCGTACAAAATTGCAGTTTAACCAGGAGACTAGAAGCAGAGCAGCTCCCCACTAAGGCTAGCAGGGCAAGGACAGGTCGACGAATTGCAAGAAGCTACTCTAGATGCTAGATGCAACAGTGACATGCCTCTTCTTACTTGTCGCTACTATTCCATTACTTCACAAAGGGCTGTAGCCAGCTGTGGGCTGGCTAACGTAAGGAGGCCTGGGGACAGTCAGCTTGTGGCCTCGCGAGGCGCTCCAAAGGAAAAGATTTACTTCATTACGTTTCGGGCGCTGACAATGGCAGCTGCCCCCCCAGCATAGATGCCAAGTAGTCTGCTCCAGTCGGCATTCCCATAGGCAGACTGGCCAACGGATAGAGCAATGAGGTCGTAAACAAGACAGCCACCGAAGATCCAATCACTGAGGCTGGCCAATAGCCCAAATCCAACGCCGGTAAGCACCTTGATAACGGTGGAAGGTTGCTGGTGAACGAAGTAAGCGACTGAGCCGTTGTGGAGAAGATCCAAGACTCCAATGCCGGCGAATGTCTTCGCAACGACGTGGGTGAGAACAGAGTTCACTGATTTGGTGTTCATTGGCGGCAGGCGGTTGAAGATAAAGTACAGTTGGGCAAGGCTGTTGATGATGACAAAAACGTTGGAGGTTTTAAGATCTCCGCTATTCCAGAAAATCATCCATGCTGTCATGACTTGTCAGCTCGGGGTTTTCCGTTCTTCTCCTACGCTTTCTTCCTCTTTTTCAAGAACACAAAAACTTACTCGCAATGCAGAAGTTGCCAACGGCGTAAAACGGTGCAAAGTCAACCATCGCTCCAACATCTGGATCCATTGGCTCAATTTTCGCATCCGCCTTGTACAAGCGCCATAGCCAGGCCACTTGGAAAAGTTGCTGTGGGAAGAAGAATCCAGCAATGAAGAAGGGCTGCGGTGACCAAAAAGAGAGGTTTGCGTCGTGTACGTCTTTCATATTAGGAGTACTGAACATGCCATAGTTCTGGGCTGCAAAGTCGATGACGAATGAAAGAGGCGCAAGCCATTTCGCAGTCGAAAGAGAGACACCCATCATTGACACCTCTGCTTATGAGAATCCGATACGAAAGTGGTTTATGATTTAAAAATGCTACGAAGGTAGAGGGAAGGCTGTCGTTCAAGTGCAATAAGTTGTTGTAGGGTCTTTATGTTATGAAAGTGGCAGGAAGGGCAAGCAGACATGACGTTCATATTCCAAGTACTGCCTCGGCTTTTGATGAAAAGTCATCAATTCAACTAATTACTTCATAGATCGACTCGGACGGTCCGGGTCACTTAAAAAAGCGAACGCGCTGGGTTAGAAAGATCATGCACGTCATTGACTATTGGAGGGGCACCGCTTCTCCCCACATATTTTTCGTGTCCCGATTGGCCCTGCTACATAAACTCGGCTTTAGCTCGCGAAGTTAACCGAAGGAGGACTTCATGGTCTTTCTACCTCTACGCCAAAGGGTATAAAGATTGTTACCTTTGGATCACAGGGCAGCACATTCAGTGACTGATTAACTCAACCAACCTACAAAGTAACCACCCAGTCATTGTTTGTCTTCTACCACTAATGACTCCTGGGAAATTTTTAATTCATGATATTGAAAATTATCCCGCATCGGTTGCTGGCTGGACGACGCGTCCTCGCGCAGATCATGCACGTTGGGTGTAAATTAAAATGGAATAATGAGCATTTAGTTATCGATATCCTGCGGCAGTGCCCAGATCGTTCTACTCACCCCATTCTTAATTATGGCGGCGGATGATCTGGCCGCATCTACGCAACAGAATGGCTTTTCACTTCGTAAATAGTGACTCCCCATGTATTATTAATATCATGCTGAACCGTTATAGCTCTTCAAGGAGCTACATGACTCAACCACGGGCTACTGAGATCAGTGAAGAAGCTTGCTCCTTTGACTTCTGTTGGAGCCCCAGGGGTGGTAACGTTGCAGTTCTCGATCCAATTGCCCTGAGCTTCCAGCTTTGTAGCTACGTATTGCTTGTAGTCCTTCAACCGGCATGAGGAGCCGGGTCCACTCCTGCAAGACGGCACCGGATATACAGCATCATTGAGACGGATGCGCACGTACGTCTCATTATAAGAGCCTTGTGATGGGGAGGAAGGCTGTGCAGAGCTGAATCTTCTAACGGGTCTAGACAACTGTGCCTGACGGGTCGCGTTGACGGACGTACTGTTACCAGCTAAGAGGCAGTTGAGCCGCTCAAAAGCAATCGTACCCCTCATGGTGGTAAAACGAGAGCTGACATACTGGCGGTTGTCATCTTTTTCAGTGCTGGCTAGGGGTTGTTGTTCGTCGAAGACTCCGGAAGCACTTATCAACTGGTTGAGTTGTCCATCATTAAGGAAAGACATGATAAGCTTCGGTAAGCTAAAGGTGCTCCCGTCTCCGCGTCTGCCGGTTACAGAAGGGCCCTCCTCCAGAATACCCATAAGAGCATTGAGGAAGGGAGTCATCATCTTTTTGGGGACGTCGCTTCCAGGACCAACACCGTAGTAGTAGCGAAGATCTTGGAAATATTCATACTGAAGAAACTCTTCGTCCGTGAGTATATCGCACCATGGTGATAAACGTCCTGTGATCTGGCTCTCAAAGCCGCATAGGTAGGGAATCTGGGAAATATCGCCCGGCGTAAGGGTGAGATTTCCCTCGATGAGTGCTTGCAGGCGTGCTTGAATAGGTGGAATATAGACGCTGTTCCACTGAGTTACAGCATCCCCTCCCTCATTGTCCTCGAATGTTGGACACATGTCTGATGGCGCCAAGCTGTCGCCGATGCCTCCGGGAAAGCCACGAGACGTGACAGATATGACATCCCCATGCAAAGTGGCATTCGTTCCCAGGAAGCCACAGACAAAGAGTTGTGCGGTTTGAAGGACTCGGGAATAGTTGTTGGCCCAAACCATAAAATCTTCGCTTTCAGTATAGAGATCCGGATACCTGCATCTCATCAGCTGAACTCTTCTCGCGGTAGTGACAATGCGCAATTACCTGGTCCGTAGGGTGTAGCCTAGGTCGTGAATTTCCTTGTATCCGGTCGGGCTCAGATTCGAAATTTGGGATGAGGGATTGGTCAACACTGTTTGCCACTTAGGCAAAAAGCTAAGACTTCCCGATGCAGTATAATTTCCCGCTTGGAACTGGACAAGCTTTTGTTAAAACTGTTATGGCAGCCTGCATATAAGTAACGATGAACTGACTCGCTGCTGCATCGAGACCCATCCATTGTAAGCACCAGGGTCAGGGTATCGTGATCCGTGCCGAAGGACGTAAGCCGCTTGGTCAACGTAGCAGTTTTCGGGAATATCTGAAGAGATATCGTTGACGTTGGGTCCTAGTGTACAAATGTTGATTGATGAGCGAAGTCAGTTTTGAGGACGAATATACATACCCGCGATCCAAGGACCGTTGGCACCCAGATGCTCAAGCGGATGTGCGGCAGAATCACTGGCCGGAAGGTTGATGTCCTGAACTGGAGCGAGGAGCCTAGGGTTTCCCTCGATCAGGGTCGCCGCAAGGCAGATGATGCCAAATTTGAATGCTGCCATCGTGGTTATTTGTCGCACTGCCAGGTAACACGGAATAAGAACATAATTCCACTGCTGAACAACGGTGAGTTGTTGGGCCACTATATACCATTGGCGCTGGGCGTACTCATCATATCTGTCGCGGACAGTCCTGCTGCTCTGAGGAATGCAATATTACTACCAAGAAGCACGTGAATAATGCGATTCTCTGATTCGGGCACCCAGACAAGGTTGTGGAGAAACAACGGGGATGCGATGCTGGATGAGGTGGT